GGCAAAGACCACATCTGGTATCACTGTTTCAGCCAAGACAGAAAAGAAGTATAAATAGGCCGGGCATGGTGGCTCATGCCTGTAATCCCAGCACTTTGGGAGGCTGAGGCAGGAGGATCACCTGAGGTCTGGAGTTTGAGACCAACCTGACTAACATGAAGAAACCCCGTCTCTACTAAAATTAGAAAATTAGCTGGGCATAGTGGGGCATGCCTGTAATCCCACCTACTTGGGAGACTGAGGCAGGAAAATCACTTGAACCTGGGAAACGGAGGTTGCAGTGAGCCAAGATCATGCCACTGCACTCTAGCCTAGGCAACGAGAGTGAAGCTTGGCCTCAAAAAAAAAAAAAAAAAAAGAATTATAAATAATGCAGATGTATATTCAAACCTAAAGCCTCTAAAACAAGTTGAGGTTTTTCCTTCTAATTTGAGAGGAGATATTAGTGTGCAACAGACAGAAAAGGCAGTTGAGCCTGAGATACAGGAAAGTTGCTGTGCTGCTCTAAACCCTCGGGAAGACCCATTGGGGAGGGAAGACCAATCGGTCTTGTGTTGGTCACTGTGTGAAAAGACTGGGTCAAGTACTTTTCAAGAAAAGCAACTCAAACTTAGCTGATGAAATGTTCTTCAGCCCTTCAGAGACCACTCCTCAATAATAAAGACCATTCTTCAAAGCACTATAAGAATGAAGGATAGGACTATGTCTGTCTTGTTAACCGGTATATCATCAGTTCCTGATATTACGCCTCACATAAAATAAGTGCTCAACACATTTTGTTTGACTTTATATAATCAGCTGCTACACTGTAAGCTGTTTTGACCTTGTTAAATTTGTGGTAAATTATTATACAGACTTAGGAAATGAATAGTGCTCCATAGAGAAGTAAATTAGGGTGACATGCTAGAGTGTACTGGTGACTGCTTCGGATTAAAGGGCCAGAGGTGATATTTAACCTGCAATCTAAACCAAAAATAATGAGCCATGCGAATAATGAGAAGTAGCAGCATTTTAGGAAGGTAGCATTGTTGCTGCTATACCAGTAGTGATGTGTTTTGTACAATAAAGTGTGAGAGACGAGTAGAAGTCAGAGACCATCCAGGATTCTTCACTACAGCCAAGGAGCCCTAGTGCACTGTCCCTGTAAAGAAAAGCCACAGTGGGAGGAGGCTAAGCAAGGGTGTGATCTGATCAGATTTACACACCATTTAGCTACCCTATAGGAAAGGTAATTTCACAGAGATAAGACTGAAATCCAGGAGATCAAGTAGGAGCCTACTGCAGATGTCCAGGTGAGGGCTGACCGTGAGCTGGGCTGGGATGGGGGTAGTGGCAAGAAGGATAAGTAGAGAAATTTAAGATGTTTTGGAGGTACATTTGTTGATAGTATGGTTGCTGAAGTAAGGTAAAAAGAAGAAAATATAGCTCCCACATTTAAGAATAACTAAATACACACTCTATACATGGAAAACTCAAATTTTAAGAACATATTTATAAAACATGCTGCAAAAAAATTATAGCAAGTTTGTATAGAAATTTCCACTTTCTCCTCCTCCTCCTTCTTTTTTTTTTTTTTTGGAGAAAGAGCCTCGCTTTTTTTTTGAGACCAGCCCGATCTCGGCTCACTGCAACCTCCACCTCCTGAGTTCAAGAGAATCTCCTACCTCAGCCTCCCAAGTAGCTGAGACTACAGGCACATGCCACCATGTTCGGCTCATTTTTAAATTTTTTTTTTTTAGTAGGGACGGGGCTTTGACATGTTGGCCAGGCTGGTCTCAAACTCCTGACCTCAAGTGAAAACGCCCACCTCGGCCTCCCAAAGTGCTGGGATTACAGGCGTGAGCCATCTCGCCTGGCCTACACTTTCTTCTTACTAAGGAATTGGTAATCATCTTGACACAGCATGGTAAGGGAAGAGTCTCTGGATAATTTTCTCCCACATTAGTCTTATTTCAAATAAGAATAAATAATAATGACAAATAAATAAATGATTAAAAAGATCAAAAAGACTTTTCAAAAATTTTCAAATGATGATGTGGTATAATCAGATTGTGGGAATTTATTGCTTAATGAACAATGAACCAATTATACATGTTAATTAACATATATGTTAATTAACATCAACATGTTAATTAACATGTTAACTGACCCAATTATACACGTTAATTAACATATTAACTGAACCAATTATGCATGCCAGTTAACATGTATAATCTGCTATACATTAACACGTATAAGAAACTTGGTTATTTACCTAGTTAATTCCTAGGTACCAGACAATATTCTAAGATGCACATACCCTGAGAAGTATTATGCAGTTTTTGAGTCACAACATCTTTTTATTTCTATTTTTTTTGAGATGAAGTCTTGCTCTGTCACCCAGGCTGGAGTGCAATGGTGCTATCTTGGTTCACTACAACCTCCGCCTCCCAGGTTCAAGCGATTCTCCTGCCTCAGCCTCTGGAGCAGCTGGGATTACAGGTGCCAGCCACCACACCTAGCTAATTTTTGTATATTTAGTAGAGACAGGGTGTCACCGTGTTGGTCAGGGTGGTCTTGAACTCCTGACCTCATGATCTTCCTGCCTCGGCCTTCAAAGTGCTGGGATTGCAGGTGTGAGCCACTGTGCCCGGGGGAGTCACAGCATCTTTTGCACTCAGAAATGGTTATCTATCTAATGCAACAGCTCTGGCCCTCTATCTTGACTGCCCTGTAACAACTGGGTTTATTAAAAGGTTCTCTCCTTTCGGCATGTTTATACATCCTGACCGTAAGTCTCATTTGCAAAAAAACTCCAACTTACACAGAATCACAGAATTGTTTGTGTAACACCATTTACCATCCCAACAGTAGTTTGAGAAGTTACTGCTCAAAGCACAACGAACCAATTATACATGTACAAAGCTACAGTAGTATGAAGCAGGATGTTCGTGTATCAGTATCGCTGGCATATAGCATGTAAGGTAAAGAGTGGCAGGTGGTTAAGCTAGAAAAGCAGGGGCCAGGTCATAGAACAATGCTGTGACTTCATCCTGCTGACAGAAATATTACCAAAGGGTTTTAAAAAGTGAAATAATGTTAGATTCCTCTGGCAGCAGGGTGAAAACTGGATTTGACTTGGTTGATAAAGCAGGCACACCTGTCAAACAGAATGGACATTTATGAGGTAACCATCTCGGTAACATCTAGAAGATGTGGTCACTGAATGTGGAACCTATAAGAAAGGAAACAGCCAAGGATAATTCTCAGGTTTTAATTTGACTGCTTGAGTGACTACTGATGTCTCAATTGAGGAAAAAAAATACAGAAAATAGGTCTGGAAAACTCAGACCCATCAATCTCTAAAATCCCTTTTTTTCCCACAATATCTCATTTTATAGATTAAAAACACCCAAGATCAACAGACATGAAATACCCTAGAGTAGGCACCAGAACTTATGTTTCCTGCTGTTTAGTCCTGAACTTATCCCACTAGAAACAAGCATTTTTATAATTTTTCAAAATTTTTACTTCATATATTTTATGAACATATAAACTGAAATCGGATTTTAAAACTGGGGAATTTCTCTTCTGTATAATAACACACTAACAATTAGGGAAGTACTTTTATAAAATAAGTTTAAATACTCACTTCAAATTCTTTTACAAAATAACGAGTTTCTCCTTGAATAACTGGTCTGTGATCCAAAAGCCTTGAATGAATTTCTCCAAGATCTATAAAGATAAAATGAAATTCAGGGTTAATCCATGGTAAATGGCATAATCTCTAGCTTGTTTTATTCTCTCCCTTCCCCACGAAGATATGAAGGTTAAAATCCAGTTTAGACTATGGACTAAGAGGAAATCTCATCCACTGCCAGTTCTTGTGTACACTGACACAACTACTTTTCAGAACAATCTTTCAATAGCTAATAAAGTTAAAGACCTGTATACCTAGCATTTTCACACATAGGTGTGTAGCCTAGAAAACTCTTGCACAAATGAATAAGGCCATTTATACATGTTTATTACAGCACTGGTGTAATATCAAAAGAAAAAAAGGGAAACACTTTCATCATACACAGCGGAATTCTATAAATCAGCAACTAAAAATAAATACACCAGACTTACACTTATCAACATAAATAAAATAAAAAATGTAATACATATTTTATAATAAATATAATTAAAAAGCAGGTTTCAGAAGGATTAAAGCCATTTACATAAACCTCTAAAATATTCAAAATACTTCCTTTTGATATAGAGACATATAGAAGCAACAAAACTACAAAGAAATGCATAATAATAATACACACCAAATTGCAGATAGTGGCTACCTTAAGAGGAGGGAGGAGAATGAGTGCAATCAGAGCAAGACACAGTGGGGCTTTTAATTGTTTATTAAGGTGGGTGGTGAATGTTCATTGAAAGTCTCGTTTTCATAAGTCTGAAAAAGTCTTTAAGAAATGAAGGTCTAAATTTAAGTCTTTTGGTGAGTCAGTTTATGACTCTTAGTTACAACTATGTAGTTTAAAATGTAAATCTCAAAATTCTTTGAGAAATTAAATCTGAGTAAGGATATATATTATTCATGTTCATTCATGTTCTCCAAATTTTTCATTTTTGCAGACATACGATGGGCAGATTTCAATTTTCTATTTTAGTGACTTTTATTAGGACATATCTTCTTAAGTATGCCAAGCAGAAAAAAACACGAATGAATACAAGCACTGTACATAACTAACTAGTATATATAAAGAACTACAACTCAACTGTCAAAGACTTTCCCGCAGGAAACAGCGTTGTGAGCTTTCGGAATCAAACCTAATGCCGGTTCCGTGACAATCTAGGTTGTAACCTTCTTCCAGCTCAAAGCACACAGGACACATGTACATTTCTAAACGTGAATGGCTCTTTACGGTGTTATAGCGCGCTTTCCTAAGTGTATCTCACTTACTCCTCGCACCACCAGGGACAGACCGGGTAGGAGAGTAGACAAAGCCAATGACCCGACGTCACTCAACTCCTAAGCGACTGCCTCCCGCCGCCCAGGTCCAGTGCCCTTTACACTACACGTCGGTTGCGAGGTTGCCCAAAGAGGTTCTGCCCCCAGGGGTCCTGAGCTTGGGGAATGGACGGGGGCGGGCCTGACGGCTCAGGCTACGGCAGAGGAAAGTGGGGAAGCACGAGGAGTTAGGCTGGTTGGCTGTAGTGGAACGCATTTGGCGCGGGGGAAAAGGCTGGGACCGGCCACGACTCCCCCGCCCCGCACAAACGCACGCGCGCCAGCCCGGTAGCCAGGGGTCGGCCCGGGTCAGAGGGCGCCGCCTGGGAGGTGGGGCTACGCTGGGATCCACCAGGAACTATAGCTCTGAGACTCCGTACCCTTGATAATGAGGTGCGCTGAGCCCGCGGTTCCCAGGGAGTCCCTCTTCTTGCTGCCACCGCCCGGGGCGGCCTCACAACCCACAGGGGTCTCTGTCCCTCCGCCACTCATCCCGACCGGTTCCGCCCACCCGCGGTCGCGCTGCGCCTGCGCAAACGTGGCTGCCAGCTTACAGGACGCGCGCCGGTTTTTTTGCGTCATCACAGGGCGCCGGAGAAATTGAATCTACCCAGAGGGCGATTCCGGAAAGGCGCCTGCTGTGTAGCCAGGGTGTGACCTGGCAGAAGCTCGTGCCGCCATGCTGGATCAGGGCGGATGCTGCTGGAATAGGAAGATGTTTGAACATTGGAGCTAAACTCAGAGCCCTGGTTATTTGACTCAAAGCTGGTGCATTCCAATACAGTTGTCTTCCCTTATCTGCTGAAAATACATTCCAAGACCCCCAGTGGATACCTGAAACTGCATATAGTACTGAACCATGTATATACTGTGTTTTTTTCTGTATATACATATGATAAAGTTTAATTTATAAACTAGAAACAGTAAGAGATTAACAATAATAGAACAACTTAATAAAAGTTATGTGAATGTGGTCTCTCTCTCAAAATATCTTATTATACTGTCCTACAGTTAATGAAACCACAGAAAGTGAAACCTCAGCTAAAGGAGGACTATTGTATAGCAAAGCCAATCAGCTGGGGGCTGTTTCCCTACTATGCCATGAGAGTCGCAGACTATTCTTGCCTTTCTTTTTAGACACCTGATTCCTTGAATGCTTTTCTTGCTCCTTCTACCTGTTCAATTCAGTAAACTTTATGCTCTGTAATAAAGAATTTGACTGGACTTTGATTCTGGTTCCTGGGAAGTACCCTCAATCCTTAGAATTTCCCAAGTGATAGGAGTGTCTGTTATTCACGGTGGGCCTCTGGGAAAACATCTGAGTTTACGTTAAGGAGATGACTCGTGGAAGACCCAAGATGATTTCAGAATGGAAGCTGGCCATGCCAGAAAAGCCAACCATGTGTTTAGAGGGCTTAGGCTTTGAGCCACATAACCAGGCCCACCTCTGGGGAGCAGATTGGGGCTGGAGATTGAGTTGAGCCATGTGGCCAATGATTTAATTAACTATGCCTACATAATGGAACCCCAGTTAATACTCTGGACATGGAAGCTCAGGTGAGCTTCCCGGTTGGTAATCATTCAACAAAGTGCCTGGAAGGTGAAGAGTTCCTGAGGACACGTAAGCTTCTATTTGGGAAACTTCCCACACCTCTCCCTATGCATCTTTTCATTTGGCTGGTTCCTGATATGTGTCCTTTATAATAAAACTGTAACTGTAAGGATAGCACTTTCTTGAGTTCTGTGAGTCATTCTGTGAAACCTGAGGGAGTAAAGCAAATAGCAATGAAGTATCATGTGTAGAGAGAAGCTGCATGGGTGAGAACTGAGGCTCCCTAGCAGTCAGTGCTCAGGCCCTAGGCATATGACAGAGACAGCTAGTCAGAAGTGCAGGTGGCCTGCACTGCTTGAGTGTGTCCTTGGTCTTTGACCCATGAAATCTCAAGAGTTTTGAGACTAAAATGGGACTCTTATCCTCTCCCTGAAGGTCTTGTATTATCTCTTATTGTCTCTGGATTGACGAGACTTTTGCCATATTTTTAAATGAAATTTTTATTGAGATATTTGTAGATTCTCACAGAGTTTCCTTCTACACTTTTCCTGGTTTCCCCAATGGTAACATCACAATCATGATATTGACATTGATACAATCCACCAATGTTATTCGGATTTCACCAGTTTTCCTTGTATTCACTGTGTGTGTATATGTTTAACTTTACGCAATTTTATTACCTGTAGATTGATGCATCTATCATCACAGTCCACATACTGACCAGTACGGATGCCGTAAGGATCCTGTTAAGGTACCTGTTTATAACCACATTTACCTTCCTCCCTGTCCCCACCCTGACTTCTGGCAACCTATCATCTGTCCTCTATTTCTAAAAATTTTTCACCTAAAAATATTATAGAAATGAAACCATACATTAAGTACCTTTATGTTTTTAAGAATAGCTGTTATCACATCATAACCTCTATACAAGATTGGAGAATCAATATCATATGCAAATATAACCATGGGATTGTAAAGGGATTTTTCCAATTACTGTACTTTTTGAGAGTCAAGACATCTAAATCATGGAGATGTTGTCAATTTAGTAGAATTAAAGTTCTGATTTTGGGGGAAATTATTTGCTGTACTCCCATATTGAATCTTGTCAAAATTAAAAAATAAATGAGTAATTACATGTATACCAAGAACAAAATTAAAATTTATTCCTTAGTATAAGCCCCTCAAGGGAAGCATAATTGGCACAGGGCGGGAGATGGAGGGACTCCTATGTTTATTTTGTGCTCTATCAAATCCATTCCATGAGATTTCCTCTGCAACATTTTCTATTGACATTATTTCTTATCTTCTTTAATCTAACCTATTTTAGAAATCAGTTAAAAAATTTAAAAATGCAGGGACATAGATGAACCTGGAAACCATCATTCTCAGCAAACTGACACAAGAACAGAAAATCAAACACCACATGTTCTCACTCATAGGTGGGTGTTGAACAATGAGAACACATGGACACAGAAAGGGGAGCATCACACACTGAGGTCTGTAGGGGGCGACTAGGGGAGGGACAGTCGGGGGTAGGGAGTTGGGGAGGAATAACATGGGGAGAAATGCTGGATACAGGTGATGGGGGAATGGAGGCAGCAAACCACATTGCCATGTATGTACCTATGCAACAATCCTGCATGTTCTTTACATGTACCCCAGAACCTAAAATTCAATTATATATATATGTATGTATGTATATATATATATATATATATGTACAAAATTTTAAATGCAAAAACTGATTAAGGCAAAGGAGGAGAAAAGAGTAGATGGTCTATTGGATGAGGTACTAAATATTACTATGTAGCAATCTCATAGTTTTTAAAATGTGGCCAGGTGCAATGGCTCACGCCTGTAATCCCAGCACTTTGGAAGGCTAAGGGGGGCTGGGGTTCGAGACCAGCCTGACCAACACGGTGAAAACCTGTCTCTACTAAAAATACAAAAATCAGCTGGGTGTAGTGGTGGACGCCCGCAATCCCAGCTACTTGGGAGGCTGAGGCAGGAGAATCGCTTGAACCTGGGAGGCAGAGGTTGCAGTGAGCTGAGATGGTGCCATTGCACTCCAGCTTGGGTGACAGAGTGAGACTCTGTCTCAAAAAAAAAAAAAAAAGTTTTGGAAATGCTTAGGGCACACTGGGCATGAAAGCCAGTTTAGTGTGAAGTAGCACACTTTGTATGAGCATTAGCGATCTTCTAGGCTGCAGCAACTTTATAATCCAGTACTGAATCTTCCTGTACCAAATGCTGCTAGCTCCCCCTAGAGAAGCTGCTGGGGTTGCTCCATAATTCACAGAACATGAAAGTCTTACTGCAAGAGCTACCACGAAAGTAACTGCTCCGATGACAGACCCAACCCATTGGAACACAGAATGCATTCCATCCACCACACTGGGCATACCTTCATTAAAATGGACTCAACTGTTCAAAAAGGAATGCATGAGTTTTTGTGTGCATTTAGCTAGTTCTGTGTGTGCCTGTCACCTAAGCTTTAGACAAGTGTAGAACGGTGCTTCTCACTGTATGGTCATCACAGCAGCAATATTAGAATCCTCCTGAATCAGAAACTCAAATTAGATCCCAGAAATCTGTGCTTTGAGAAGCCCCAGGTGATTCCCATGCATGCTAAGGTCTGAGAACCAGTGCTTTATTGCAATGTCTATTGCCTATTCCCTCAGCCTCTGATGATGAGAGTCAATGATAGAGTTATTTTATCCAAGTAACAGGGCTCGAGTCAAATGGTGAAAATGGTCAGGCACTGGAAACCTCATGAGGTCCATCTGAGAGTTTAAAACTTCTAAGGGTTTTTAAGACAAGGTATGTCTGTTGCAGAAGGTCAGGAAAAATGGGGATGGAAGAGAAGGATAACTTACATTACATGAACAGACTAGTTCATCGACTGCACCAAAGAAGCTTTGGAATTTGTAATCAGGTGGCTGGAAGTTTCTCTTCTTGGTCAAAGCAAGCCTGCGGCCTTATTGTTTAGAGCTATGCCTTGTCAAATTAGTGGTATGGCTACTGTATTTCAAACTTAACTTGGACAGACAGGCCTGCCAGGCACAAATTTCTCAAGCAGATGATGTTGGGGAGGACAAAAATTATCCACTGCAAGACTTCGAGGACAGATGACACTCAGCAGGAATGGCAAGCCAAATCTGCAGGAGCCATAATACAATTGGCCAGCCCTAGGGACCTGGCCTCCTTGAAGTGGAAGAGACAGCATGAATGAGCCATCAGATTAACTCATTGGGCTGGAAAAGATCCAATGCTTTCATTACCCCCAAAGAAACAAGTTTAAAAGATTAAAATATTCCTAAAAGAATCATGATAATGGAAGCAGAAATCCTTGAGATAACAGCAAAAATGGCCAGCATCTCAAATTCTCCTGCCTTCCCACTTGCCTTCTTTTGACCTCCCTTCCTTAAGTGAAAGGTGAGTTTTGCTAGATTAGGTAGCAGTTGGAATTAGTTTTATTTGCTAGCAGTATTGGGAATAAAGGCAAAGCCTGCAGGAATGTGGGCCCCAGCAACAAGTAATCATCATTGCAAAATCAAATTCCCCATCTTATCTCTGATATGCCTGTATGTAACCCTAGAGCTGGGCTTCACAGTGTTATAAATCCAGCATACAAGACACAGAACAGTGGGACAGGAGCCCCTTGTGTATCTAAAAGCTCTGCCCAGCAAGAGAGATATATGATGGTAACTTTCTCCCCATCGCTTTTGCAATAAAATTCACCCAGTGCTCCAGGAAGAGTTAGGAATGTAATTCAGCTTCAATAAATCAAGACTAAAATTAAGATGGCCAGATATGTAGCAGCCTGCTCAGGTGTATGGAGAATTTGAAATTTAGTGCCCTGGTAATGGGTAGTAGCAGATTATCTAATTATAGAGAGAAAGAAGAAATATTGCTCTCCGGGGTAAAAAGCTAAATAATCCATTAAACTACCGCATCTCTGCCAAAGCTAGATTAATATTAAAGTTCATGTACCATCTGACTTTTTAAAAAGGAATTAAGTCAAATGTTAGAAAAAAAAAATGAAAAAAGCTATAGTTCACAATAATTCTAATTTGACCACTTGTCAAATAGTGTATTTTGAGTGTGATATACATGTACCTGATTATAAAAGAATTCTATTCCGTCCTAACAATATATCTGCTTAAATTTTTATCAACATATCTTGAAGCTATTCTGGACAGACTTCCAGCGGGGTGCTCATAAATTACATTTTTTTTTTTAAGATGGAGTTTTGCTCTTGCTGCCCAGGCTGGAGTGCAGTGGCGCGATCTTGGTTCACTGCAACCTCTGCCTGCCGGGTTCAAGTGAGTCTCCTGCCTCAGCCTCCAGAGTAGCTGGGACTACAGGTGAGCGCCACCATGCCTGGCTAATTTTTTCTTTTTCTTTTTTTCTTTTTTTTTTTTGAGACAGTCTCACTCTGTCGCCAGGTGCCAGGCTGGAGCGCCCAGCTAATTTTTGTATTTTAAGCAGAGATGGGATTTCGCCATATTGGCCAGAATGGTCTCGATCTCTTGACCTCGTGATCCGCCTGCCTCAGCCTCCCAAAGTACTGGGATTACAGGTGTGAGCCACTGTGCCCGGCCCCAGTTTTTTCTATTTTTAGTAGAGACGGGGTTTCACCATGTTGGCCAAGATGTTCTT